ACTATCCCTGCTGGACACATGACGTCAAAAGACGCAGGCTAGGTGCGGGCCTGGAAAGGGCGGCAGTGGGGGGCTGCGCGGGACGCCCCCCGAGGGCGGGGCGGAGCGTGGGCGGACGTGGGCGCGGGCGCCGCACGGACACCCGTCTTGCGCTCTGCCACCTCCAGCCACCCGCCCCAGTTATCCTGGGCAGCACAAGCGCATCCCTGAGCGGCCATCCACGACGGGAAGGCCTCTGTGAGCGGAATTCCAACAGGAGGGACTACAATCTGCCCAACTACCAGTCTCTTTGCATATCGGGCCACTGAACAAAACTGCAAAATGAGCTGTGATTCCGAGATTCTGTCTGATCAGTTATAATCAGAGCGGTTGTAGAAGTGACATATGAGGAGGAGAGGATGAGGGGAGGGGAGAGAGAAAGGGCGGGAGGGCGGAGCCACCTCGACAAGGCCATGGTGCCCAGATGTGTCAACAGATTAATGGACCCAGGTTCTCTAATTCCTTGGAGGCAGTGGAGCACGTGCTCTAGGCCGAAGTGGTCGGCAAACTCATTAGTCAACAGAGCCAAATATCAACAGTATAACGATTGAAATTTCTTTTGAGAGCCAAATTTTTTAAACTTAAACTGTATAGGTAGGTACATTGTTATTAACTTAATTAGGGTATTCCTAAGGCTTAGGAAGAGCCACACTCAAGGGGCCAAAATGCCACATGTGGCTCGAGAGCCACAGTTTGTCGACCACAGCATCCTTACCTGCTTTTCTTAATTATTTTTGCCACTCTGGCAGGAATCTACTGAGCCCTCTCCTTCCAAAGAAGTGAACATTTCTCTCCACCTCTCATTTCTGCCACAGCAAGTTCCATGGCACCCCCTGCAGGCCCGGGCTCCTCTAGAGAGGGTTTCCTAAGCCCAGGCAGGGCAGCCTACAACTCCCTCTTGGGAGCACCTCCATCTTCCTGCCCTCTGACCTCCCCACCTCCCATCCACACTCATTCCCTGGATGATCCTCTCCATCTCCATGAATTAAAGCAGCTGTCTATATCATATCGAGTTTGTATTGAAGTATGGTACCTATTTGCTTTGTTTAACAATGGACAGGTTATTTTGATTTTCTGAATTGTATAAATCATCCCATTCGATTGAATGACTTATTGATTGAATGACTATCCCATTGATTGTGATCTTACTGGTTATCAAAGCACATTCTTCTGTACCTGGGAAACCGGACAGCACAATTACCCTAAATTGTTTTAGTGGCCACAGGTGGTGCGTTCCAGTTGACTCAGTGGTCCTAAGACCAGGACAGTGCAATTACTCTAAATTGCCTTGATGGCTCTAGATAATGTGTTTCTATCAACTCAGTGATCCAGAGACCCAGAACTATAATTTAGATAACATGTCTAAGTTTAACCCAGGTTACCCAAAGGCTCTAGATAATGTATTTCTGTCAATTCAGTGACCCCGAGACCCGAAACTGTAATTAACATGCTTAATTCTGCTTCTATAATCTGCTTTTTTGTGCGAGCCAGGTGCCTCATTCCAAACCCTGGGATGTAATCAGTACCTTTGTGATTTTTGCCTATATAAGTCTGGTTTTGCCACCATCTTATGGCTATGAGATTTGGGAATGTCCCCTCATAGTCCCGGATTGCAATAAATATGACTCTTTAATTCGACTTCTTGAGGCGTCCTTCTGTGATTCGCGGGGTACATTACAACAGTATCTCCAGCCCAGACCTCTCTTCCTGAATGCCAGGGTACACAGCCAACCTCAGGCTCCACTTGGGTGTCTAATACACAGCTCAGACCTAACATATCCAAACACCAAATCCCTTTTTCTTTGCAAAACCTGCACCTCACACTGCCTTCCCCATCGAATTTGATGGGGCCAAACGCCTGGAATCATTCTTGACTCCTTTTCATCCTCCCACATGTAATCCTTCAGGAAATCCTCTTGGTTCTACCTTCAGATAAATCCTCTTCTCCATGTCTCCCCTGCTGCCCACAGGTCTGAGCCAATATTGTCCTTCATTTGGGTTTATGCACAAGCTGCTCTCCCTGGTCTTCCCCACCCCCATGCCCACCCCTCCTGTGGTTTGTTCTCAATACAACTGAATAATCCACTTAAAATGTCACATCACAGCACTGCTCTGCTCAAAGCCCTCCAATGGTTCCCCATTCACTTAGGAAAAGCCAAGGTCCTTAGAGCAGCCTGCAAGGACCCACATAAACAGCCGTGCACAACTTCTCTTGTCTTTTCCTCTCCTATTGCTCTCCCACTTGTTTCAACCACACTGGCCTCCTTGCTGTTCCCCAAAGACTCCAGGAATCAATCAATCAATCTCAATATCTCTCTCTCTCTCTCTCTCTCTCTCTCTCTCTCTCTCTCTCTCTCTCTCTCGTCTTGAGCCCTTTCCTCTAGCTGTCCCCATTGCCCAGAACACTGTTTCCTCAGATAGTTGCTTGGTGAACTCCCTTACTTTCTTCAAGACTTTACCCAAATTTCATTTTCTCCATAGGCCTCACTCTGACCACCCTGTTTAGGACTGCAACATGCCCATCCTGCTCCCAGCACTTCCAATCTCACCCTGTCTCTATTTTTTACATGGCATTTAATTCCTGTCTAACATACAATATAGCCTAATTATTCATTAATTGTATTCTTTATTGTCTGTATTCCCCACTAAAATGTAAACCCATGAGGGCAGGGATCTCTGTCCATTTTGTTCACCAGTGTGTCCCAAGTGCATTGAACAAAGTCTGGCAAATAGTATGCACTTAATAAATATGTATTGAATAATGAATGAATAAATGAGTGAGTGAGATGGTTTCAGGAGTGCTGCAATTCACTGCATCAAAATGCTCCCCTATGTCCCCTGCTTGATATGTGAAACCTCACCACTCCAGCATCATGCCCTCTGGCCAAGGGCTTTGGCCACAGTTTAAAATGCAAATAAATGTCTCTGTGAGAGGCATTAAGCTTGTCAGTCATCTTCATTCTACTGTGAACAGCAGTTTAGATTTTGTTGGTTATAAGAGAAATCTGGCCTCTTTACCATTCTGGTGGCTTCATACTTAATTTTCAACCTAATAGAAAAAATAGAATGACACAAATCCAAATACCCTCTCCATTTAGCTTTAGGATACATTATAGGCCTGTATTTCAGAGGCCCATATACTTGATTGTTTCAATTAACATTACAATTGGTTTGCATCACCTTTATCCACTGTAGGACAGGAATAATAATAATAATAACTAACACTATTGAGTGCTCTGTGCTGTGACAGGTGCTTTATAGGCATTACTCACTTAATCCTCATTGCAATCCTATAAGGTAGGAAGTATTATTATTAATCTTATTTTACATATGGGAAACTGAGAGTCAGAGACTCGAGTTACATGTCCCGGGTAACCCAGATGATAAACTGTGCAACCTGCACTTAGGCTGGGAGTGTCAGCCTCCAAACTCTCATTCATACCATGATCCCCCTTCTTGGAGGGAATGACCGACCGAGAGTGAGCTGGGTTGGGGGCAGGGAATGAACAGTTTAAAATGACTGCAAAATGTGCTGCAGAGAATTCACAAAGAGCCAGATAACTGAGAACAGAGTGCATGTGTTGGCGGGGAAGGGGGAGGGGGGCACATGCTGGATTTATAGCCAGCTTTTTCGAAAGGTAGGCACTGTATAAATCTAGCAAGTAAATATTACCTTCATGCTTCTTTAATTTCATTTTTCACTTCTCTTCTCAGCTGTGAAATGTGTTCTTTCCTTTCCAGAAAAAGGTATTTCCTAAATATTTGGTCTTGCAATGTAAGCCCATATCTCGGCTTCTAACTTTGGAACACAGCCCTTGGTGCTCTCTTTCAAGGTAACAAATTGTCAACATGACAAACAGAAACCATTCTGGATTCTGAATTGGGGATTTGGGAAGTGGTGGGACTGAGGAAGAGAAGTCTTTCTTTCTCTTTTATTGCCTGATGCAATTCTCCAGCTGAAGGTACTCTCTATTCTCTCCTTTCCCATAGTTCTTTATTTGTGCCAGTCTATTGTTATATTTCTGCATAGTATTATATTTCTATATGAATGTGCCCTTTCTCTGCCCCCACACTGCATTTTAAATGTCTTAAGGAAGAGAACCGTGTTCACTTTCCTTTGTGCATAGCATAATGTTTTGTACACATGGACACTCGATGTATGTTGAGCACATGATTCACTCTAGAAAAGATTCCTTAATGTGACCACGAATGTTTCCTTTGGAAGCAGTTAACATTGAATTTGTTCATTATAAGTGTACTTGTAAGAGTGAAAAGCTTGGAAACAATCTAAATATCCAAAAAAATATTGGCTAAATAATAACATAGATTATTCACATATAAAAAGTTATTTACTCCTGTTGTTCTAAATAACGGCCCTCCGAGGGGAAGTACTATTATCCTCACTTACAGGTGAGGAAACTGAAGCACAGAAGGGTCAACTCACTTGCCCAAGCTTTCACAGCTAGTAAAGGCTGGAAGACCTGGGATTTGAACCCCAGCAGTCTATCTTCAGAGTCTATGCTATTAATCACTTCATAAATAAACTAGGGTGCATTCAAACAATGAAATCCTTACATGGATGTGAACAATATTCTATATAATAAAAGCCCAGCGACCGAAATGGCAGAACAACCAGAATGACCAGAGACGAGAATGACCATGATCCCTCGCCCCAGCTGGCCTCGCCCCTCCAGG